GGGCATTCTATGAGCAGAGAGGACGCAGCGTTAATGGCTCAAATACTCCAGCTGCGGCCTGCGCGCGGCCGCTGTTATATTCACAAAATCACTCCACCAAAACAAAGTAATTAGTTTGCGATCGTTTATATCAGCCCATATTCTCTGGTACATCATGTACTTTTCAGCAGAGTTCATAATCTGTGCCCCGGTGATTTCAGCTCATTGCTGCTGGAGCGCAGCACATATTAAGCTTCTTTTTTTTTTTTGCGTTCGGTAGATCCCTTTGGCTGATTAGTTAGAAAGTAGGAAATCTAAGAAACTGTTTTTCTGTAAGACGGAGAAAACATGCAGCATGCAGGAAGGATAAGAGAGAGAAAGGGCAGGAAATTATTCAAATAAAATCAAGAAAACAAAACAAAGTGCTTAAAAAGAAAAATGTAGGTAGATTTATCCCCAATACAAATTTTTACCAGTGAAAAGCAATAATATATAAGCATTTAATATTTATACATGTGATAGAATCAGATCACCCCAGAAGTCAGTCCCACATCCAGGGCCGTATCAAGGCATTTGGGGACCAAGGCAAATATCGGCTTGGAGCCCCCACCACCTCACTCCCTGCTCAGATGGCCCTACAAGGTGGCAGCGTGCTGAGAGTACAGGTTGTTGTTGCTTTTATTTAATAAACAATCATTTAAAGCACTGTTATTATATCTGACTGTTTTAACAGCAATCCTAGCTCAGAATACCACATCACTTTCCACATATATGTCATGAGCTCACGGAGCGTCAATTTACCCAACACATTCTCACTCCCAGCGCGTCAAAAACAAACGCTTGGTCAGCCACCCTCCACGTCAGACCCCTAACGCCAAAAGTGCCCTTTTTCGTTACTTATGTGCAAAAAGGGGTTTTTCCCTTATTTGACTGCAGATCCCAATGCAGCGTTACACTGACGCGATGGGATGTCCGCAGCCAGGGCACCAAACAAGCTCATTGTACCTCACCTTAACCTTATCCTCTTATTTAACCTTCCCCTCACCCCTATCCTTAACCATCTTGCTAGCGAACACGTTAGTGATGTGTCGATTGCTCTAAAAGCCGGCTCTATGAAGTGAACGGCGGGAGCTGCCTCGTGATTGGTCGAGTTTGGACCGAGCCAACGCGAGGGGGAGGTTCAACTACCACGGTGGAGGTTAAAAATAGAGGGTATGTGTAACCTCCCCCTCGCCAGATGGTATGTTCTAATGTTCCCCTTGGGCGGCAAATACGAAAATTCACAGTCAACTCTGACTGTCAGAGTCAGAATGCATGGGAAACAAACGCTTGATCACAGTGAGAGTAACGTTTTAGGTAGCAAGAGGGTTAAGGTTAGGATGAGGGAGAGGGAAAGGTTATAAATAGTGAAACGTTAAGGTTTAGGTGTGCTGCTTAATGATATTAATGCATGTGATGTTTAGACAGTGACTCGTCTCAGAAGCAGAATTCCCCGACAGAATTGTTTAGAAAATCATCAGAAAAGTTTCAGAGTGTTTCTGTTTTAACTTAAACTTCTATTTTCAACTTTAAGACACGTTGTTTGTGATTGTTTACAGAGTAGTGAGAACACGGAGCGTTCTCCCAGCGGCAGCCAGGTGCCTCTCGTTTGTCTGACTACTTTCATAAACTACTGTTAGGGCACAGAATTATTCTGTCTGGTGCTTTCAGCGCTGCACAGATGTTACGTAAATGTTAAAAATATAGCTTACCGCAACTTTTGTAAAGTTCCCGTTGCCACTGGGCAGCTGCAGCAGAGACGATCTCTGAAAAATGTTCGCGACACGGACTCTGTTGTTGTCTGGAAGTTTTTTTTCCAAGTTAAGAAAAGAGGCAGATGTGTTTCCTAAATCCTGCATCAGTCCAAGCAAGGCAACTTCTTTCTGTTTTTATTCCGTTTTAGTAGCCATTAGCGCTGTGCATTGTTGTGTGAGTCAGTGATATTCAGTCTACGAGGAAATTGTGCAATGACAAAGGTTCCGCCGTGCTTGAAATGCAAGCTGCGATTAAATGTGTAAATTTTTTTACGCGTTATTTTTTTCTAATTAATAAATCGTAATTAACGCGTTAAAGTCCCAGCCCTAGTTTAAATAAATAAATGATCTCACAGGCCGTATCCAAAGTTAATGAAAAATCAGCAGCAGAGCTGCTAATCCAGAACAACCCCACCAAGCTGCAAAGTTACTGAATGAACAGCTGGTGGGAGTGTCTCGCCGGTTCAAGAATAACCCTTTGACCCTGACATACAGCAAAACCATCTTTGCGATCAAACACAAGATTTCTGACAACTTCAGTGTCTTCTTGGACCAGAAAGAAATTCAACAAGTGGATGAGTTTAAATATCTGGGTGTTGTTTTGGATTCTTAAATCCTACATTTCAGTCCCACTTCAGAAAAGTGTCCAGAACCATTAGGATCAACCTTGTGGTTCTTTTTCCTTTTCAAACACAAGAAAGAGACAGGTTTTGTCCAAACTCAGTGCGGGGCATTTATTTACACAACTCATCCATACATCACCAACACTTCATAGGGGACAGCGTCCAGCTTCGATCTAGCACCTCGGCTGGAGATCCTTCTGCAAAAGCCCACTTTCTCCTACACCACGCAGCATCATATACTCTTCACCCCCCACCTCTGAGAAATGATGGGGTGCTACTTCCACATCCTAATATGGTCAAAAGTAGTTGAGACTTACATAAGCTGGACTGAACAACATGTTGTGGAGCACATAATCAGCAGCTGGGCTGCCTGATAAGAAGTTGCACAGCACGTGTGCGGCTGGACTTGATAAGCAACATGTCAACATACACGTACACAAAACACTGCTTTTAGCTCCTACAACCTCAACTGCTTCTGTCTCATAGGGCCATATTTACCTGTAGAAGCTGCCCAACTGCATCTGCATGCCTTGATTCTGTCCCACCTCTCTTATGTCTAACTGTTTGGAGCCAAGCAACCCAGTCTGTTTTAAAACGTGTGTGTGTGTGTGTGCGTGTGTGTGTGTGTGCGTGTGTGTGTGTGTGTGTGTGTGTGTGTGTGTGTGTGTGTGTGTGTGTGTGTGTGTGTGTGTGTGTGTGTGTGTGTGTGTGTGTGTGTGTGTGTGTGTGTGTGTGTGTGTGTGTGGTAAATGTTATAAATGCTCTTATTTGATTGTCTCTAAAAGTCCAACTTTTGCAAGTTGACCATAGTCTAGAAAACTTCTACAAAACAACGGTTGCATAACTCTTACATGTAACACTGTCTTTTGTGCTGTCCTTGTTCAATAAATCCAAACTAAACTAAACTAAACCACCTGAACCCAAAATAAAAAGCTTCATAGAAGCATGAAAAAAATATTGTTTTGAGCGATCATGTGATAAGCCCAAGATGGAAGTCTGTAGTCATCAAAAAAATATGAAATGAAGGTAAATGTGAACATTTTATTTATTTATTTATTTTTAGCAAATAAACATATGTTGTGTCTAAACTGCTTATGAATGTGTTCAGCATAATTTGAAATCTAACAAACATCTCTGTCTTTCTAGAAGATCTATAAAAACGTCCAACAGTGAAGGTAAAACACACGGAGACATTCCTGAGTCTGACAAGAAGTGAGGTCTTCTCATTAAGAATGAGTTTATCTGAACTAAACCAAAACAATATTGGCTCCTACACAATGTGTCTGTAGTTTATGAAAGTGTACCTTCAGCAACTAAACTATTAAATTGTATAAAAATCACAATGACTGACATAAAACGCTGAAACTGTATCTAAAACATTAGGTGGAATTTAAAAACAGATGAGCAAATTCCAAGTTTATATCAAAACTGTTAACTTTCAAAATGTAAATTATAAGTTAAATAATACTAAGAAGGCATGAGGTTTTTTTTTACTAAAGAATCAAGAGGACCTGAGAGATGAAGTGAAATCACGCGGTGAACTAGCATTTGTACATGCTGCCCTAAAGCTGTGGAGCTCTCTACCTATTCAACAGGCTTCATCATTGGCAGTTTTTAAATCTCGCTTAAAGACCCACTTTTACAACTTGGCTTGTAGACAGTGACTGGTTTCATTGTTTTATTGTATTATTGTTTTAATGTGTTCTTAGTGTTCCTAACATTTTATTTGCTTTTATTGCTCAGTATTATTGTCCTCTGTGTTTTGTTGCTGTTATGGCCCAGGGCCGTTTGGGTTTTTCCCTGTGTGTGTGTGTGTGTGTGTGTGTGTGTGTGTGTGTGTGTGTGTGTGTGTGTGTGTGTGTGTGTGTGTGTGTGTGTGTGTGTGTGTGTGTGTGTGTGTGTGTGTGTGTGTGTGTGTGTGTGTGTGTGTGTGTGTGTGTGTGTGTGTGTGTGTGTGTGTGTGTGTGGATTGCCTCCCAGTTAGACTCTCGCAGCTGTTCCTGATGATCAGCTCTGCCAGCAACATACAAATCAGCCAGCCCTGAGTTCAGGGAGCAGCTGACCAGAGAGGTTCTCTCTGGTCTGTTGTCTCCTCAGCAGCATTTAGTTTTGTTAAGTTAAGTTTGATGTAACAACTTTGGTGGGTGCTTAGGGAAACTCTCTGTGTTTAACTGTTACCCTTTTTAGGTGTAAAGGAAACTTTACCCTTTGCTTTGTGGAAATTATGTGATGGTCTTTCGAAGTTTTAGTATTAATTTCGTTAATGAGAGAGTTTAGGTGTTACTAGTTTTGAGTTGCTGCTGATGTGTCTGTGTTGTGATTATCTGTGTTTGGTGTTTATATCAATGTAAATAAATGTTGTTTACATTTAACATGAGAACATGCATCCTCAATTGTTACCCCAGGCCCCCTAGACAGCCTGGATCGTAACAGTTGCTTTGATTATTTGTGATATGGTCCAACCTGTACAGTACTTTGGGCAACTCCCAAGCTGCATTTTAAATGTGCTACATAAATAAACTATGGTATGGTAAGTGACATAAGAAACGCTGGTTAAAATTGTTTGTTTGAAATCAACATTGAGTTTTTATATTGGGGAGAAATTCTATACCTGTAGAGTGGACGCTGCTGAGTCGCTGGTCTCTGACAGTCCTGTCCCTCTGGGGATGCTGGACACCATGTATCTGGAGCCCTTTGGCACAGGCTGTCTGACCACCAGCTTTCCTTTCCTGGTCTCTGCTAGAAACAGACTGTACCAGTAGGCATCGTTGGACACCAGAGTGGAGTCTGCGATGGTGGAGTTCCTCTCACTGATCACGCTGTTCCTGCTGGGAGGAGCCGATTTGCTGGGTTTCACCTTCTGACACTTCAGCACGATGGTCACCAGTATGGTGATCAGCAGCAGAAAGGACACCGAGCCCAGACCGATCACCAAATACAGGTTGATGTCTGAGAAGATGTCGTATTCCAGAGACATCTCAGTCATGTCAGAGTAGGCCTTCACAGCAGTCTCCACTGTCAGCAGCTTGATGGTGACTGTAGCAGACAGAGCGGGCTCCCCGTTGTCCTTGGCAACAACAACCAGCCTGTGGTGGCGCGGGTCTTTGTAACTGAACATCCTCATGGTCCGGATCTCTCCGTTGTACTGGTCCAGACTGAACAAGGAGGCGTCAGCCAGCTGCAGGAACTGGTAGGTGATCCGAGAGTTGTGCACAGAGTCCTTGTCCAAGGCTATCACCTTGGCAACCAGAGAGCCTTTGTCAGTGGATCTGGGGATCTTCTCTTCCACCACCGAGCCACGCTCACACCACGGAGACACGATAGATGGAGCGTTGTCATTCTGGTCCACAATGATGATGTGGACGGTCACGTTACTGCTGAGAGGAGGAGAACCAGAGTCTCTGGCCTCGATGTGGAAAACAAAGTCCTTCTCTATCTCATAGTCAAAGGTCTTCAGTGCATAAAGGTTCCCGTTCTCTGGGTTGATGGAGAACAGCATGGACATGGAGGTGTTGGCGATCTCCTTCTCCAGGATGAAATACACTAGATACTGGTTCTCATGGAGGTCAGGGTCAAAGGCAGTGAGGGAGCTGAGCAAGGCCCCGGGGGCGTTATTCTCCATCACACGTATGGTATAAAAAGACTGGGGGAACTGGGGAACATTGTCATTAACATCCAGCAGCTCTAAAGTCATTGTTTCATTGTCAGATAAAGGAGGAGAACCTCTGTCTGTCACAGTGAAAGTGATGTCATACTCTGGGACCTTCTCTCGGTCTAATGGCTCTGACACCACTAACTCATAATAATTATCAGAGGACTCCCTCAGTTTGAAGGGCATGTTGTCTGGAATATGAAGATCAACCAGTCCATTGTCCCCTGAGTCTTTATCACTCACACTAACTACAGCTATCACCGTGTCTGTGGCCACGTCTTCCTTCACTGGACTCTGGAAGGATTTAATAGATATTTCTGGATGATTATCATTCATATCAGTGACCTGGATTGTCACTCTGCACTGCTCAGATAATGAATTGTGTCCCTTGTCACTGGCTATCACCTCCAGCTCATACAGTTTCAAATCTTCATAATTGATCATTTCTTTCACTCTGATTTCACCATTTTCTGGATTCAGCTGAAACATCTCCTGGGTTCTCTCTGATGTGTACAAACTGTAAGAATAAACAACATCAGAGTTGGACCCTTCATCTAAATCTGTAGCATTCAGTTTCATCACCAAGCTACCAATAGGAGAGTTCTCCATCACATCTACAACATATTTGTCTTTGTCGAATGAAGGGGCGTTGTCGTTCACATCGAGCACGCGCACAATGATGCTGGCTGTACCTGTGCGCGTGGGCACTCCGCCATCCACAGCGGTGAGAATTAGATTATGAACAGCCTGCTGCTCTCTGTCCAGAGGTTTTTGCAGAACCAAATCAGCGAACTTTGTCCCATCTCGTCCAGTTTGTATCTCTATAGTGAAATGATCACTTGCGCTCAGGTGATAATTCTTCACCGAGTTTGTTCCCACATCTGGATCCGCTGCGTTATTCAGTGAGAACCTCTCCCCCACGGGGCTTGACTCTGAAATGTCCAAATCCATCGTTCCTCGTCTGAAATGTGGAGCGTTGTCATTTATATCTGTTATCTCTACTTCTATGTTAAACATCCGAACCGGGTTTTCAATTCGCGCATCAAGTCTAAGGAAGCAGGAGGAGGCTGTCTTCAAGGGACACAAAACCTCTCTGTCAATCCTTTCAGCGATAAAAAGCTCACCCGTGTCTTTGTTTATATCGAGGTATTTTTTGTTCCCCACCACGTCAACGCGCATTTTTCTGTCGCGCAGACTCTTAACATCTAATCCCAAATCAGCGGCTAAATTTGCTACGATTGAGCCTTCCTCCATTTCCTCAGGAACAGAATAATGTGTGACTGCAGAGACCGAGTCCATGATGGGAGAAAGAAGGAGGCAAACTGCGACATACCCGTTCCAGGAAGGCAGAAGCCGTTTCGGAGCCATGGAGAAAAACATCCGTACGTTCAGAAAAGCACGTAAAACAGATATGAAGCTGCCGCGGATTTAAGGTGATGTGGTGAAGAAAATAAGCTGTTTCCAGGTGTAAGCAGTTTTCCTGGATCATTCCCGATCATTCCCAGCCTCCAAGAAAAATAGTAAAGGAGGGGATGTCTTCATCCGTGAACGATCATTTTTTTGTGGAGAGCAGCGACATGGACAGATCTTTGTTAGACTTATTTCATCACCAAAACGCAATTTATTAAAATTAAAAAATTGTAAAATCCGGTCTTACATTGGTCTCAGAATTATAGGTCATTTATACCTAAATAGTATTGTGTCAAAATACAGCATGCCAATGTTACTTTAATCTTGGGTTTTACCGTAAATAATGTGTGCTGCAAAATATATAACAAATGTTATGTTGTCACTGTGTCCCATAATAAACTTTTAATAAGTGAAAAAATAATAACTGAATATTTCTCTAAGTTATTAATACATAAATGGAACATTTCCAACTGTTAAAGGGAGCAACAGAGATGACAAAATTATCATAAAATCCTGTAGTTTCACTTTTATAAGTGAGAAAAAAACACCTACAAAAATTATCTAAATAAATTAAAGGCTAACTTTAATAACTAACAGATATCAGAAACAAAGAGTAAAATTGTATTTCTGGAAAAAATTGTGAATATAAAACTAATGTTAAAGTTTTGTTAAATATTTGAAGACACAAAAAAGCCAAAAAGTACAAAAATATGTATGAATGTTAAGAATATGTTTCAAGCAGACATAATTAAATGTGGCTTCTACCTGCAGAGTGGAAGCTGCTGAGTCGCTGGTCTCTGACAGTCCTGTCCCTCTGGGGATGCTGGACACGATGTATCTGGAGCCCTTTGGCACAGGCTGTCTGACCACCAGCTTTCCTTTCCTGGTCTCTGCTAGAAACAGACTGTACCAGTAGGCATCGTTGGACACCAGAGTGGAGTCTGCGATGGTGGAGTTCCTCTCACTGATCACGCTGTTCCTGCTGGGAGGAGCCGATTTGCTGGGTTTCACCTTCTGACACTTCAGCACGATGGTCACCAGTATGGTGATCAGCAGCAGAAAGGACACCGAGCCCAGACCGATCACCAAGTACAGGTTGATGTCTGAGAAGATGTCATATTCCAGTGACATCTCAGTCATGTCAGAGTAGGCCTTCACAGCAGTCTCCACTGTCAGCAGCTTGATGGTGACTGTAGCAGACAGAGCGGGCTCCCCGTTGTCCTTGGCAACAACAACCAGCCTGTGGTGGCGCGGGTCTTTGTAACTGAACATCCTCATGGTCCGGATCTCTCCGTTGTACTGGTCCAGACTGAACAAGGAGGCGTCAGCCAGCTGCAGGAACTGGTAGGTGATCCGAGAGTTGTGCACAGAGTCCTTGTCCAAGGCTATCACCTTGGCAACCAGAGAGCCTTTGTCAGTGGATCTGGGGATCTTCTCCTCCACCACCGAGCCACGCTCACACCACGGAGACACGATAGATGGAGCGTTGTCATTCTGGTCCACAATGATGATGTGGACGGTCACATTACTGCTGAGAGGAGGAGAACCAGAGTCTCTGGCCTCGATGTGGAAAACAAAGTCCTTCTCTATCTCATAGTCAAAGGTCTTCAGTGCATAAAGGTTCCCGTTCTCTGGGTTGATGGAGAACAACATGGACATGGAGGTGTTGGCGATCTCCTTCTCCAGGATGAAATACACTAGATACTGGTTCTCATGGAGGTCAGGGTCAAAGGCAGTGAGGGAGCTGAGCAAGGCCCCGGGGGCGTTATTCTCCATCACACGTATGGTATAAAAAGACTGGGGGAACTGGGGAACATTGTCATTAACATCCAGCAGCTCTAAAGTCATTGTTTCATTGTCAGATAAAGGAGGAGAACCTCTGTCTGTCACAGTGAAAGTGATGTCATACTCTGGGACCTTCTCTCGGTCTAATGGCTCTGACACCACTAACTCATAATAATTATCAGAGGACTCCCTCAGTTTGAAAGGCATGTTGTCTGGAATATGAAGATCAACCAGTCCATTGTCCCCTGAGTCTTTATCACTCACACTAACTACAGCTATCACCGTGTCTAACTTGATGTTTTCACTCACTGGACTCTGGAAGGATTTAATAGATAATTGTGGATGATTATCGTTCATATCTTCTACAATAATTTTTAATTTAATTTGACCAGATAATGCACTCATACCTTTGTCTGTTGCTATCACTTCCATGTCATAAATTCGGACATCCTCATAATTTAACACACCCCGCACAGCTATTTCACCAGTTGTTGGGTTCAAATTAAATGTCTCCTGTGCTTTCTCTGATGTATATAAACTATATGAATAAATTATCTCGGAGTTGGTGCCTTCGTCTAAGTCTGTAGCATTGAGATCAATAACTGTACTTCCAATCGGAGCATTTTCCATGAGTCTGACTTCATAGCTCTCTTGGTCAAATGAAGGGGCGTTGTCATTTGTATCTAGCACATGAACGGTGATGCTGGCTGTACCAGAGCGAGGCGGTGAGCCTCCATCCACAGCTGTAAGCAGCAAATGATGGACAGCTTGCTGCTCTCTGTTTAAGCCCCTTTTCAGGATTAAATCAGCAAATTTGGACCCGTCTCTCCCCGTTTGAACTTCTATTGTAAAAAAATCACTTTCGCTCAGGTAATACGTTTTGACAGAATTAGATCCAGAATCTGGATCGACTGCGTTGCTCACAGAAAACCGCTCACCAGCCTGCGTGGCTTCAGAAATATCTAAATCTATTACGTCTCTCCGGAAATGAGGCGCGTTGTCGTTTATGTCCAAAATCTCCAGCTCGATATAAAATATGCGTTTGGGGTTTTCTATTATTGCCTCCAGTTTCAGAAAGCATGACGTCTTTGCAGAGCAGAGAGATTCTCGGTCAATTCTCTCAGCAATGAACAACTCCCCCGTCTCTTTGTTCACATCCAGGTATTTCCGTGGGGCGATGATTTCTAAGCGCATTTTCCGCTCCATCAGCGTCTTCACGTCTAGCCCCAGATCCGAGGCAAGATTCGCCACCACAGAACCTTGTTCGAGTTCCTCTGGAAGTGAATAATGCGTCACGGCGAAAGTGGATCTCAATGTAACAGCGGAGAGAAGGAATAATAAGACGTACCTTGCACAGCATTTGCGGAGGAAAAGATCTTCCATTTTAAATCCTTATTTTTGATTTATTTATGTGAAAAAAACAAATCCTAACGGCATGTTATCGGAGCTAAATATTGTGTTATTTCTGATTTTTTTTTTAATTACTTCCAAGATTGCAAATTAAGCCGGTGATCTAAAAAATCCTACCGAGTCTGCAAAAGGAAAGGGTCGCTCTGTTTCCTTTCACCCAATGAAAGACTGGGATGGCGATGATGATGATGATGATGATGCCATAACATTGTTACGGATAGGGCAATAGCGCCTCAGTGCGTGGAAAAATCCATGTAATGACTCGGTTTGGTTTTACGGACTAAATCATGCATTCGCTAATAGTTTTGAAAACGCTTTACTACTGATGTTATAATATTTATTGTAAAGTGATTTCACTTCTATAAATGATCAAAACTGAAAATTTCAGTCCGTAGTTTATTTCCAGGTGTTTATTGATGCAGGTGTTTGTCTAACTATGTTTTCCCTCAATCGCTTGGAATTATGATTACAAACAAAAACATTAAAAGTATGAAAATGAAACAAAAAAGATTGGAAGATGTTGATAATTATTTATTTCAATAATGTTTTTCAGTGACGTTTTCATTTTTTCTTGCTTTTGTTTGATTTGCTTTTTTCCAAAAACGTACAAAATATGATGATATAACCACATACAACCTTAATAAGAACAGAAAATAAAATTGTGCATGTGTAAAAATACATTTGAACTACTTATCTGAAGATAACCCCAGACAGTTTTATCACACAACTGGTAAAAATGTAAACGTCAAATGAAATGGGTTTGAAATTGCAAAGGAAATGGTTAAAGGTGCTTGACCAAAGTCCTACCTGCAGAGTGGAAGCTGCTGAGTCGCTGGTCTCTGACAGTCCTGTCCCTCTGGGGATGCTGGACACGATGTATCTGGAGCCCTTTGGCACAGGCTGTCTGACCACCAGCTTTCCTTTCCTGGTCTCTGCTAGAAACAGACTGTACCAGTAGGCATCGTTGGACACCAGAGTGGAGTCTGCGATGGTGGAGTTCCTCTCACTGATCACGCTGTTCCTGCTGGGAGGAGCTGATTTGCTGGGTTTCACCTTCTGACACTTCAGCACGATGGTCACCAGTATGGTGATCAGCAGCAGGAAGGACACCGAGCCCAGACCGATCACCAAGTACAGGTTGATGTCTGAGAAGATGTCGTATTCCAGAGACATCTCAGTCATGTCAGAGTAGGCCTTCACAGCAGTCTCCACTGTCAGCAGCTTGATGGTGACTGTAGCAGACAGAGCGGGCTCCCCGTTGTCCTTGGCAGCAACAACCAGCCTGTGGTGGCGCGGGTCTTTGTAACTGAACATCCTCATGGTCCGGATCTCTCCGTTGTACTGGTCCAGACTGAACAAGGAGGCGTCAGCCAGCTGCAGGAACTGGTAGGTGATCCGAGAGTTGTGCACAGAGTCCTTGTCCAAGGCTATCACCTTGGCAACCAGAGAGCCTTTGTCAGTGGATCTGGGGATCTTCTCCTCCACCACCGAGCCACGCTCACACCATGGAGACACGATAGATGGAGCGTTGTCATTCTGGTCCACAATAATGATGTGGACGGTCACGTTACTGCTGAGAGGAGGAGAACCAGAGTCTCTGGCCTCGATGTGGAAAACAAAGTCCTTCTCTATCTCATAGTCAAAGGTCTTCAGTGCATAAAGGTTCCCGTTCTCTGGGTTGATGGAGAACAACATGGACATGGAGGTGTTGGCGATCTCCTTCTCCAGGATGAAATACACTAGATACTGGTTCTCATGGAGGTCAGGATCAAAGGCAGTGAGGGAGCTGAGCAAGGCCCCGGGAGCGTTATTCTCCATCACACGTATGGTATAAAAAGACTGGGGGAACTGGGGAACATTGTCATTAACATCCAGCAGCTCTAAAGTCATTGTTTCATTGTCAGATAAAGGAGGAGAACCTCTGTCTGTCACAGTGAAAGTGATGTCATACTCTGGGACCTTCTCTCGGTCTAATGGCTCTGACACCACTAACTCATAATAATTATCAGAGGACTCCCTCAGTTTGAAAGGCATGTTGTCTGGAATATGAAGATCAACCAGTCCATTGTCCCCTGAGTCTTTATCACTCACACTAACTACAGCTATCACCGTGTCTAACTTGATGTTTTCACTCACTGGACTCTGGAAGGATTTAATAGAAATCTCCGGGTGGTTGTCATTCATGTCTTCTACTAGAATCTTGATGGTACATTGTCCTGATAAGCTGGTGGCTCCTTTGTCTGTTGCTATCACCTCCATGTCATAAATCCTGAAATCCTCATAGTTCAACATTCCTTTAACAGTAATTTCTCCTGAGGTTGGATTCAGATTAAACGTCTCATGTGTTTTCTCTGATGTATATAAACTATATGAATATGTGACGTCAGAGTTGGATCCTTCATCTAAATCTGTGGCACTCAGATCAATAACAAGGCTTCCTATTGGTGAATTCTCCAGGATTTTAACGTCATAAACAGAATTATCGAATGCAGGAGCATTATCATTAGTATCAAGCACGTGAACAATAACACTGGCTGTGCCAGAACGAGCAGGTGTTCCTCCATCTACCGCTGTTAGAATTAAATTTTGAACGGACTGCTGTTCCCGGTCTAGCGTCTTTTTAAGGATCAAATCTGCAAATTTCGTGCCTTCTCTGCCAGACTGAACTTCAATATTAAAATATTCACTTTCACTGAGGTGATACGTTTTAACTGAATTCAATCCGACATCAGGATCAACAGCATTACTGAGAGAAAACCTCTCCCCTTTTGGGGTTGCCTCAGAGATGTCTAAATGGATGGCGTCTCGCCTAAATTGCGGGGCGTTGTCATTTATGTCTAGAATCTCTACTTCAATATTAAAAATTCTCAGAGGACTTTCCAGTGCGACCTCAAGCCTGAGATAGCATGAGCCTGATGATTTTGTGGGGCAAATGTGTTCTCTGTCGATCTTCTCAACAATAAACAGCTCCCCAGTCTCTTTGTTCACATCCAGATATTTCTTGTTAGCGATGATATCGAGGCGCAGTTTTCTCTTTGTCAGTGTTGTGACGTCCAGACCGAGGTCAGTAGCGAGGTTAGCCACGACTGATCCCTCTTTCATCTCCTCGGGTATGGAGTAATGTGTCACTGAAGCTGATACGTTTTGAATGAAAGCACAAAAAATAACGAGCAGCACGTACCTTTGATCAGACCGCTTTGTTAAAACGGAAGTCATTGTCAAACCCCAAATCGCAGCCCTTCAGATGATAAACAAAAGGCTCTTTCGAATATTTAATTATCCGTGAACTGAAATGGACAAAACCCGTTTTCTAAACGCTTAAAATCCTTAGAAAGTGTTGAAAAAAACAGCCGCTAGTTCCAGAGCGCAGTTTCAGCACCACGGAGCTGTCCGGGTTGGTCTCGGGCTCTGATTTTACAACACGGTCGCTGCGATCGGAGGCTGGACTTCTACTATTAAACAGCGCCGCCGTGCCCTTGTAAGCATTTATTCACACAAGACAAGATATACAGTAATCGTGGAAAAAATTGATAGACTTAAACACAGAAGTTAAAACACACATTTTTAAAGTCAGCTAAGAAAACTTAGATTTAATTTATTTTTTCATTTGGTGGATTTTTAATGGGGTTTATTTGATCTGCCACTTAAGACAAGCTTGCATTTTTTAACGATTTTTAAATTTTTATTCATACCTTAAGATTGTTTCACTATCATTTGATGACTTTTTTTACTTCTTATTAATTATGTTTTGTAACATTGTAAAGAAGGATATAAAAACTGAAGACATTTCTTCATTGGTGTACATAAGATAAAATGCATTGTAGTAGAATGTAAAATCATGAAGAAATTTTATTTTCATTGGTGAATCAAATAGCAACTCTTAGTATTTAAATACAAAATTAATGAAAACCGATGTTTTGCAGACCAGTTTAAAATATAACAAAACCCACTGTCAACTGATGATTTCAAAAAAACAGTTTTGTGTTGTGTTGTTGACTTGGTAAGTGACTAGTAAATAAAATGTCCTAACCCCAAATTTCAAAACTGATTTACAGTTTTTCTCTGTTGCTTTGGTGCATTTCTCACAACAGAATTAAACTTTGCATAACAGTTAGTTCAACCTCCACAACATGTAGTCGTTTTGCACAACCTAGTGGCGGTTTCATGTTCATTTTGTCCAAAGGCAAACACAAATGTCTAAAGAATGATCACTTTTGACTTGCTAATCATCACTATCTCCTTGCTTTTATCATGAATGTCACAATTATTTATACTTGTACCGGTTGAATAGTCATTGTCCTTACAACTAATAGTCTTCATTTCATTGCTTGTGTCATTGCACTCAAAATTGTTGAACATCTTGTCAAACAACGTGTACTCCCATTTTGAAAACCTCATTTTTAAGGAGTTTCCATGGAAATCTCCATAAATTAATTTTCTCAGATGAACCTTATCTCACACTAATGAAAACTGGTGTGTGTCCTGGTGACAATCGGACAATGTGTGTAGTGGTTTGGGATAATGTTAGCTTCCATCACTCTGCTGTAGTCAGGCAGCAGTTGCAGCACACGACAGGATGCTTATGGAGTTTCTTCCTCCTTACACTCCATTCCTAAATCCAGTTGAGGAGTTTTTTTTCTTCCTGGAGGTGGAAGGTATATGACAGGCATCCACATACCCAAATGTCCCTGCTAGCAGCTATGGATGCAGCTTGTGATGACATCACAGCAGAGTCCTGCAGAGGGTGGATTCGACACTCCAGAATATACTTTCCCCGATGCATTGATAGAGCTGACATTCCCTGTGATGTTGATGAAAATATGTGGGCAGACAGACGGGAGCGTCTAGATATCAGTGACTGATATGCAGCAGTGTCTGTTCAGTTGTTTTTTTTTTGTTTGTTTCATAACTACTGCAGTAAGGTTTGCTGTCTAGGTGAGTTTATGTTTGCTGTAAGATGTTTGTTTTACTGTATTTCCCCAGTTGCACAACGCTGTGAACAGTTTCAATTAAATATTATCAAGAGTGCATATGAAGTGTCTTGATTTTCCTTTACAGTTTGTGGTTTTCTACATGCCATGCATGCTGTCTAGACTTCACATGTCATTGTGAAGCACCTACAAAGAAATCCGTCACAATGAGAACATGTTCACACCATTTGATTTTGTGACCAAAGGTGCTGGTGTAATGACTTGTAATTGTGACAGCTCTGACACTTTGATAGATATAAGTACTTGCTTTTGATGAATATATTATCTGTTTTGATTAAGGGACTTGCTTTTGAAACACTGACTACTTATTTTGAACAACTGACTTTTCTTTTTGATGGAGTGACTCACTTTTGCAAGTTATCCACCATGTTTTGCAGTTTGAACTAATTGTTTTAAGAAAAGCCTTAGTAGTGGTGCAGAGATCAATTCTGTTGTGAGAAATGCAACACAGAAACTGAGAAAAACTGTACTAGGATACAAGGATAAGCAAACCTCTTTGGACATAATTGAAAGTTTGAAAAAGGTATTCTCTCAAGGAAAACGCTATGACAGGTACGTAGAAAATAAAAGTGTTTGAAAAACCAATAAAATAATAAGATTCATATTTGTTTCACATTTATATTGTTTGTCTACTTCTTACGTGTAAGTGATAAATAATCATTCGAAGTGATAGTTAAAAAGGCAATATAAACAAACATTTATCATGTAGATAGATAGATGATAGATAGATAGATAGATAGATAGATAGATAGATAGATAGATAGATAGATAGATAGATAGATAGATAGATAGATAGATAGATAGATAGATAGATAGATAGATAGATAGATAGATAGATAGATAGATAGATAGATAGATAGATAGATAGATAGATGATAGATAGATAGATAGATAGATAGATAGATAGATAGATAGATAGATAGATAGATTATAGATAGATAGATAGATAGATAGATAGATAGATAGATAGATAGATAGATAGATAGATAGATAGATAGATAGATAGATAGATAGATAGATAGATAGATAGATAGATAGATAGATAGATAGATAGATAGATAGATAGATAGATAGATAGATGATAGATAGATGATAGATAGATAGATAGATAGATAGATAGATAGATAGATAGATAGATAGATAGATAGATAGATAGATAGATAGATAGATAGATAGATAGATAGATAGATAGATAGATAGATGATAGATAGACAGACAGACAGACAGACACTACTGCAAAGGCTACAGTTTAATCTGTTTATATTGTAATATTAATATAATCAAATGAAAGGGGTTTATTTTGATACATCTCCAGGTCAAAACACATTGATTAAAAATTCGTAGGACCACATAAAAAGGTGTTTAATGCCTACCTGCAGAGTGGAAGCTGCTGAGTCGCTGGTCTCTGACAGTCCTGTCCCTCTGGGGATGCTGGACACGATGTATCTAGAGCCCTTTGGCACAGGCTGTCTGACCACCAGCTTTCCTTTCCTGGTCTCTGCTAGAAACAGACTGTACCAGTAGGCATCGTTGGACACCAGAGTGGAGTCTGCGATGGTGGAGTTCCTCTCACTGATCACGCTGTTCCTGCTGGGAGGAGCCGATTTGCTGGGTTTCACCTTCTGACACTTCAGCACGATGGTCACCAGTATGGTGATCAGCAGCAGAAAGGACACCGAGCCCAGACCGATCACCAAATACAGGTTGATGTCTGAGAAGATGTCGTATTCCAGAGACATCTCAGTCATGTCAGAGTAGGCCTTCACAGCAGTCTCCACTGTCAGCAGCTTGATGGTGACCGTAGCAGACAGAGCGGGCTCCCCGTTGTCCTTGGCAACAACAACCAGCCTGTGGTGGCGCGGGTCTTTGTAACTGAACATCCTCATGGTCCGGATCTCTCCGTTGTACTGGTCCAGACTGAACAAGGAGGCGTCAGCCAGCTGCAGGAACTGGTAGGTGATCCGAGAGTTGTGCACAGAGTCCTTGTCCAAGGCTATCACCTTGGCAACCAGAGAGCCTTTGTCAGTGGATCTGGGGATCTTCTCCTCCACCACCGAGCCACGCTCACACCACGGAGACACGATAGATGGACCGTTGTCATTCTGGTCCACAATGATGATGTGGATGGTCACGTTACTGCTGAGAGGAGGAGAACCAGAGTCTCTGGCCTCGATGTGGAAAACAAAGTCCTTCTCTATCTCATAGTCAAAGGTCTTCAGTGCATAAAGGTTCCCGTTCTCTGGGTTGATGGAGAACAGCATGGACATGGAGGTGTTGGCAATCTCCTTCTCCAGGATGAAATACACTAGATACTGGTTCTCATGGAGGTCAGGGTCAAAGGCATTGAGGGAGCTGAGCAAGGCCCCGGGGGCGTTATTCTCCATCACACGTATGGTATAAAAAGACTGGGGGAACTGGGGAACATTGTCATTAACATCCAGCAGCTCTAAAGTCATTGTTTCATTGTCAGATAAAGGAGGAGAACCTCTGTCTGTCACAGTGAAAGTGATGTCATACTCTGGGACCTTCTCTCGGTCTAATGGCTCTGACACCACTAACTCATAATAATTATCAGAGGACTCCCTCAGTTTGAAAGGCATGTTGTCTGGAATATAAAGATCAACCCTTCCATTGTCCCCTGAGTCTTTATCACTCACACTAACTACAGCTATCACCGTGTCTAACTTGATGTTTTCACTCACTGGACTCTGGAAGGATTTAATAGAAATCTCCGGGTGGTTGTCATTCATGTCTTCTACTAGAATCTTGATGGTACATTGTCCTGATAAGCTGGTGGCTCCTTTGTCTGTTGCTATCACCTCCATGTCATAAATCCTGAAATCCTCATAGTTCAACATTCCTTTAACAGTAATTTCTCCTGAGGTTGGATTCAGATTAAACGTCTCCTGTGTTTTCTCTGATGTATATAAACTATATGAATATGTGACGTCAGAGTTGGATCCTTCATCTAAATCTGTGGCACTCAGATCAATAACAAGGCTTCCTATTGGTGAATTCTCCAGGATTTTAACAGTTAAACTGTTTGTTTCAAACGTGGGTGAATTATCATTAGTATCTAGAACACGAACAATAACGCTGGCGGTGCCAGAACGAGCAGGTGTTCCCCCATCTACCGCTGTTAGAATTAAATTATGAACGGACTGCTGCTCCCGGTCTAGCGTTTTTATTAGGATCAAATCAACAAATTTTGAACCTTCTCTACCTGACTGAACTTCTATATTAAAATGTTCACTTTCACTTAGATGATATGTCTTCACTGAATTAGATCCCACATCAGGATCAACCGCATTGCTGAGAGAAAACCTCTCTCCTCTCGGTGTCGCTTCAGAAATGTCTAAATGAATGACGTCTCTCCGGAACTGCGGGGCGTTGTCATTTATGTCCAATATCTCTACCTCAATGTTAAACATTCTCACGGGGTTTTCTAGCGTTATTTCCAGCCTGAGATAGCAAGAAACTAAAGATTTAAATGTACAAATGTGTTCTCTGTCGATCTTCTCAACAACGTACAGCTCCCCAGTCTCTTTGTTTACATCCAGATATTTGTTGTTAGCGATGATATCGAGGCGCAGTTTTCTCTTTGTCAGCGTTGTGACGTCCAGACCGAGATCAGTAGCGAGGTTAGCCACGACCGATCCTTCTTTCATCTCCTCGGGTATGGAGTAATGAGTCACGGAGGCTGATAGGTGGTGAACGAGGGCTAAAAGAATGATGAGCAGCACGTACCTTTGATCAGAGCGCTTTGTTACAGCACGGCCCATTGTTGTGCAGCAAAACAGGATAACGAGATTTCAATTTTAAAAAAGTGCACGTGACAGATGCTTTTAATCCACGCACTTGGATGCGATCTTTTTCACAAAATAAAAATCCTGTACAAAAAGAGAAATATCCCAATTGCTTCACAATCACAGCGTGGTTTCAGCACCACGGAGCTGTCCGCTCTTCCCACAGTCACGGTGAAATGACATCGAGACCCCATCTCAGCTTTAGGAAGCTGAACTTCTATCCAAACAGCGCCACCATGCAGCTTTGTCTTTCCCGTTACACAAAGACCAGATAGATATATGACTCTTGTGGTTATATTCTTCTGGTTATATTTAATTGCAAGTGAGCGAGAAGCAATATTTTAATGTTATTCATAACATTTAAAAACAATGTATGCATTCACCGTGTAGTGGATGATTTAAATATAGTTTTATGTAGTAGATTTATTCAAATAGAACAGTGTTTTCAAGATAAGCAAACAACAAAAAAGTATTTCATAACGAATTTTCTTTTTTTCTTATTATAACGCACTTGTTTTTCATTTCTAATATAATTACCTTTACTTGTTTTCTATGTGTGTTGCAATTTTTCTCAAAGACATCATATTTCTTCAAAGAAACAAACAAGTTTTTCATTTTATGTTGCAAAGTAGGCTTTGTTAAATAGATATCCAATTATGGGTGTCACATAATAATAACAATAATGCATTTTATTTTAAAGCGTTTTTCAAGTAATGCAAGGGCACTTTACAGCAATTAAACCAACAAAAAAGAAACCAAATTAAAAACTTGAACAAATTTACTGAAATGAACAAGTAAAAAACAATTAGTGGTCATTGGAAAATATGAATCCTTTATAAGGCACACATATAAATAATTTAAAACTTAAAATTTTCACTCCAGAGTGTAATGTGGCATAAAACAAAAGTATTCCTCTTTTGTAATTTAAGTTTTTTTTTCTAGCAGATAATCACAGAAAATGAAGTGATCAAAAACGAATGTACTGGTAAAATGAAACAAACAACAAAAACACAAACAAGCCAAATATTTATTAATTTTGAATAATGCAGATAATTATAATACTACTTAGAAATATTTAGCACACTTTAGATTATTATAGCACTGTGGAATATTACACAATCATAATAAATTATTTATAAAACAGATTATTGTAGAATATTTTTGAAAGTGAGGGGTACATAGCATTTCTGATCCAATATGTTAAAACATTTTAGAATATTATATATCTGAAAATCTCCCTCAACGTTATCTTCCTCCTCCTCATCATCATCACTGATTGGCTGGCACAATAACTGTCCTCCATGTTTCATAGAAATCTTAGTTTAAAACTGAAAAAATATGTGTTATTTTAAATGTTATAATTAATTTTATCATGTGAACAAAGATGGTGAAAAAACTATATATTTTACCTTAAATATGCATAAATTATTTTGCTTGTTCAACGCATATCATCAAATATGGCAGCTACGATGTTCATGTTATGATTTGAGCAACTTCACTGAGTTTCACATTTACAACACGTACGGTCTTATTTAGTTTACAGTCAACTAGAGTTTCAATAATCAAGCATCATTAGTTTTAGAGATCGCGAGGAGAGACCGGGCTGCACAAACGCATCTTTCTGGTTCTGCAGACACACCCATAGTTAGCTCATCACACACCCATACTGATTGGTCGATTGGCGCTATGGCGCCAGCTATGAAAGGCTTGATCTCCAATGATTGGTTGGGTGAAATCCCGTAATTCTGGACCCCGTGAAAAGGCACATCGACATAATCTTTGATGTGAGAGAAAACATTTTAAATACAGACGCTGTCCCTAAAGGGTGATGAAAAAAGCTGATATTTCCAAACGCTGAAATAATATTTATTGATGTTTAAAAATATTTGTAGGAGGAACGATTTTATGCTGTATTTTTCTGAGGTAGAACATAATTGACAAATTTGATTAAAGTAAGTCATGCTTTACATGATTTATTATATTCACAAAAATGCTCCGTTGTTTACCACGAGTTAATGAGTTCATATGAATATTCAAATTAAAGGTTTTCTCAGAAAGCATTTACTAAATGTTCTGAATCAAACGTAAACTATAGGCTACAAACTTTTGACTTTGTTCAAATGTTTAGTGCAAAAATACAGAAAGTAATTTATCTAAAAAAAAACATCCAGGAGAGTTAAGATTAAATTGCACTTGATTCAAATTTATTTCAGTTTTGTTTTGATTAAATGTATGCTGTTTTGATTAGAGGATTATTCTGTATGATTTCTTCTTTTCAAATAATTTTAAATTCTTACTTGATTTGGGGTTTCATGAGTAAGCTGATTTGTTTGCTTTGGTGTGTATTTTTCTGTTCAAAAGTCACTCCAAACTTGCCATTAAGGAAAAAACTATACGTGACGAAAGAAATAATTAAATAAGGGAGTTAAGCTGCCATGATGTATTTCCAAAAGATATACAAATACATTTAAACTAATCTTCACCAATGTCATACCTGCAGAGTGGAAGCTGCTGAGTCGCTGGTCTCTGACAGTCCTGTCCCTCTGGGGATGCTGGACACGATGTATCTGGAGCCCTTTGGCACAGGCTGTCTGACCACCAGCTTTCCTTTCCTGGTCTCTGCTAGAAACAGACTGTACCAGTAGGCATCGTTGGACACCAGAGTGGAGTCTGCGATGGTGGAGTTCCTCTCACTGATCACGCTGTTCCTGCTGGGAGGAGCCGATTTGCTGGGTTTCACCTTCTGACACTTCAGCACGATGGTCACCAGTATGGTGATCAGCAGCAGAAAGGACACCGAGCCCAGACCGATCACCAAATACAGGTTGATGTCTGAGAAGATGTCGTATTCCAGAGACATCTCAGTCATGTCAGAGTAGGCCTTCACAGCAGTCTCCACTGTCAGCAGCTTGATGGTGACTGTAGCAGACAGAGCGGGCTCCCCGTTGTCCTTGGCAACAACAACCAGCCTGTGGTGGCGCGGGTCTTTGTAACTGAACATCCTCATGGTCCGGATCTCTCCGTTGTACTGGTCCAGACTGAACAAGGAGGCGTCAGCCAGCTGCAGGAACTGGTAGGTGATCCGAGAGTTGTGCACAGAGTCCTTGTCCAAGGCTATCACCTTGGCAACCAGAGAGCCTTTGTCAGTGGATCTGGGGATCTTCTCCTCCACCACTGAGCCACGCTCACACCACGGAGACACGATAGATGGAGCGTTGTCATTCTGGTCCACAATAAAGATGTGGACGGTCACGTTACTGCTGAGAGGAGGAGAACCAGAGTCTCTGGCCTCGATGTGGAAAACAAAGTCCTTCTCTATCTCATAGTCAAAGGTCTTCAGTGCATAAAGGTTCCCGTTCTCTGGGTTGATGGAGAACAACATGGACATGGAGGTGTTGGCGATCTCCTTCTCCAGGATGAAATACACTAGATACTGGTTCTCATGGAGGTCAGGGTCAAAGGCAGTGAGGGAGCTGAGCAAGGCCCCGGGGGCGTTATTCTCCATCACACGTATGGTATAAAAAGACTGGGGGAACTGGGGAACATTGTCATTAACATCCAGCAGCTCTAAAGTCATTGTTTCATTGTCAGATAAAGGAGGAGAACCTCTGTCTGTCACAGTGAAAGTGATGTCATACTCTGGGACCTTCTCTCGGTCTAATGGCTCTGACACCACTAACTCATAATAATTATCAGAGGACTCCCTCAGTTTGAAAGGCATGTTGTCTGGAATATGAAGATCAACCAGTCCATTGTCCCCTGAGTCTTTATCACTCACACTAACTACAGCTATCACCGTGTCTAACTTGATGTTTTCACTCACTGGACTCTGGAAGGATTTAATAGAAATCTCCGGGTGGTTGTCATTCATGTCTTCTACTAGAATCTTGATGGTACATTGTCCTGATAAGCTGTTGGCTCCTTTGTCTGTTGCTATCACCTCCATGTCATAAATCCTGAAATCCTCATAGTTCAACATTCCTTTAACAGTAATTTCTCCTGAGGTTGGATTCAGATTAAACGTCTCCTGTGTTTTCTCTGATGTATATAAACTATATGAATATGTGACGTCAGAGTTGGATCCTTCATCTAAATCTGTGGCACTCAGATCAATAACAAGGCTTCCTATTGGTGAATTCTCCAGGATTTTAACAGTTAAACTGTTTGTTTCAAACGTGGGTGAATTATCATTAGTATCTAGAACACGAACAATAACACTGGCTGTGCCAGAACGAGCAGGTGTTCCCCCATCTACCGCTGTCAGAATTAAATTATGAACGGACTGCTGCTCCCGGTCTAGCGTTTTTATGAGAATCAAATCGGAAAATTTAGACCCGTCTCGTCCAGTTTGTACTTCTATATTAAAATATTCACTTTCACTTAGATGGTATGTCTTCACTGAATTAGATCCCACATCAGGATCAACCGCATTGCTGAGAGAAAACCTCTCTCCTCTCGGTGTCGCTTCAGAAATGTCTAAATGAATGACGTCTCTCCGGAACTGCGGGGCGTTGTCATTTATGTCCAATATCTCTACCTCAATGTTAAACATTCTCACGGGGTTTTCTAGCGTTATTTCCAGCCGGAGATAGCACGAGACTGATGATTTTGTGGGGCAAATCTGTTCTCTGTCGATCTTCTCAACAACGTACAGCTCCCCAGTCTCTTTGTTCACATCCAGATATTTCTTGTTAGAGATTACATCGAGGCGCAGTTTTCTCTTTGTCAGTGTTGTGACGTCCAGACCGAGATCAGTAGCGAGGTTAGCCACGACCGATCCTTCTTTCATCTCCTCGGGTATAGAGTAATGTGTCCCTGCGGCTGATAGGTGGTGAACGAGGGCTAAAAGAATGATGAGCAGCACGTACCTTTGATCGGAGCGCCTTGTTACAACATAAGCCATTGTTGAGCAGCAGACAGCATGGAAGGATTTAAAATGATTAAAAAGAAGGCATCTGAAAGACTGTAATTGTATGCACGTGGCTGGATCCACAATCTAGCCAGATAAGTTTAAATGTGCCCAAACAGGAAAAAATAAAAAATAATAAAAACCCTGCTATTCAGTCCGAGCGTCGTTTCAGCACCGCGGAGCTGTTCGCTGCTTCCACAATGATGGTGAAATGACTTCGGAAGCCTGCCTCAGCTTTAAGAACCTGAACTTTTGGCCAAGCAGCGCCACCACGCAGGTCTGATTCTCCGCTGGTTGGTAACACAAAATGCATACCCAAATTTCCCGTGTTTTGGCTTTTATTTGGAACTGTTTAGTGGTAGTTTATGAAATAAATAAATTAAAATAATGATCAAAAAGTATTGTCACAAATATCTCCAGTTTGAATCATTTTACAACGAATTTGTGTTTTCTTGCAATGAATTACTTTTGTATATTTGTTAGATGTTTTCTACTTGTACCTTGCAGTCTCCTTCAAGGATAGAAGACTTCTCCAAAAACGTATTATTAGTAGTAGTAGTAGTAGTAGTATTATTATTAACAAAAACAAAAACAACAACTACAACAACAACAATAATAATAATAATAATAATAATAATAATAATAATAATAATAATAATAATAATAATGCCATTGTGTTCGGAAATCAATTAATTATAACTGTGGGTGTTATATAAACCCTATTAAATACATATCAGTGATCACTGAATATTATACATGTTGAAATTTATTTTTTGTTTGATGAAAGAGAGAAACATTTCAAATGAAGTGGAAAAAATTACAAAGCACTTGAAAAATGAATTAATTTGATCTGTATTTTTGTGAAGCACAATACTAACTTTTTTTGTTTTAGGTTTTTCATGAGGTACTCATTTTTTTAAGCACTATGATATGCACTTATTTTTAGAATTGTTTAAGAGTTTAGAGATGTAAATTATGAGGGTATCTCCCGTGCACTAAAAGTCACAAAAAAGGAGAAGAGAATGCAAACATGCTAATTTATTTAAAATGTTCAGCAAGTTATGGTGGAAAAAAATCAACATCAAAATAAAATTGTAATAGTTCAAAAATGTAAATGTGTGATCTATTGCATTAATTAGTTTTCTTATTTTGTTTCTGTTGTTTTGGGGAGGGAATTGTTGTTTGGTTGATTTTCTGTTGTTCACCTTTATTTGTAACTCTGTATTTACAGTTTTCAGGAATGCTTGTTTCTTTGTTTGGTTGCGTTGTTGTTGTTTTTGTTTTTTAGACGATCCAATGCAAAACCTGCCAGAAAAAATGTGGATCTGTTAAACTATGTAAAGTACTAAAACAAAAGTTTTAATAGCCAGGAACAACAAAATGGTAACTTAAGTATTGTTGACTTGTCAAAAAGAAAAACGATGAATACATACAAAGTAACATTCAGTACAGCCTACCTGCAGAGTGGAAGCTGCTGAGTCGCTGGTCTCTGACAGTCCTGTCCCTCTGGGGATGCTGGACACGATGTATCTGGAGCCCTTTGGCACAGGCTGTCTGACCACCAGCTTTCCTTTCCTGGTCTCTGCTAGAAACAGACTGTACCAGTAGGCATCGTTGGACACCAGAGTGGAGTCTGCGATGGTGGAGTTCCTCTCACTGATCACGCTGTTCCTGCTGGGAGGAGCCGATTTGCTGGGTTTCACCTTCTGACACTTCAGCACGATGGTCACCAGTATGGTGATCAGCAGCAGAAAGGACACCGAGCCCAGACCGATCACCAAATACAGGTTGATGTCTGAGAAGATGTCGTATTCCAGAGACATCTCAGTCATGTCAGAGTAGGTCTTCACAGCAGTCTCCACTGTCAGCAGCTTGATGGTGACTGTAGCAGACAGAGCGGGCTCCCCGTTGTCCTTGGCAACAACAACCAGCCTGTGGTGGCGCGGGTCTTTGTAACTGAACATCCTCATGGTCCGGATCTCTCCGTTGTACTGGTCCAGACTGAACAAGGAGGCGTCAGCCAGCTGCAGGAACTGGTAGGTGATCCGAGAGTTGTGCACAGAGTCCTTGTCCAAGGCTATCACCTTGGCAACCAGAGAGCCTTTGTCAGTGGATCTGGGGATCTTCTCCTCCACCACCGAGCCACGCTCACACCACGGAGACACGATAGATGGAGCGTTGTCATTCTGGTCCACAATGATGATGTGGACGGTCACGTTACTGCTGAGAGGAGGAGAACCAGAGTCTCTGGCCTCGATGTGGAAAACAAAGTCCTTCTCTATCTCATAGTCAAAGGTCTTCAGTGCATAAAGGTTCCCGTTCTCTGGGTTGATGGAGAACAACATGGACATGGAGGTGTTGGCGATCTCCTTCTCCAGGATGAAATACACTAGATACTGGTTCTCATGGAGGTCAGGGTCAAAGGCAGTGAGGGAGCTGAGCAAGGCCCCGGGGGCGTTATTCTCCATCACACGTATGGTATAAAAAGACTGGGGGAACTGGGGAACATTGTCATTAATATCCAGCAGATGAACTGATATTGTCTCATTATCAGATAAAGGAGGTGTTCCTGCATCTGTCACCACCAGGGTGATGAGATATTCTGACACTTGCTCTCGATCTAAATGCTCAGAGACAATGAGTTTATAATGTGTGGGTTTGTCTGATGATTTGTTTAGAATGAAAGGCATGTTCTCTTTAACTGATAAACTCACCTTCCCATTGTCCCCAGTATCTCTGTCGCTTATTACCACCAGCGCTATGACGCTCCCAACTGGTATGTTTTCAGCTACTGTGTTTTTGACGGACTGGACAGTGATTTCTGGGTAATTATCATTCATATCTGTCACATGAACCACTACTTTGCACTGCCCCAGCAGGGGGTGCTCTCCTTTATCTTTAGCTTCAATATACATCTCATAAAACTTCATGTCTTCATAATCTATGATCCCTTTAATTGTTACCTCACCTGTATCACGATTCAGTGCGAACACGTCCTGCGTTTTCTCTGAGGTGTAAAGCGTGAATGAGTAAATGATCTCTGAATTTGCGCCCTCGTCAAGATCTGTGGCGTTAAGCCTCATGACTGAGGTTCCAATCGGGATGTTTTCTGTCATGTTAATGGTATAAAATGGCTTTTCAAACCGAGGAGGATTATCGTTTGTGTCCTGCACCCTAACGATGATGTTTGCGGTGCCAGAGCGCTCAGGCACACCTCCGTCTTCCGCCGCCAGAATTAAATTATGGGCAACCCTTTCCTCCCTGTCTAAAGATTTGGTCAAAACTAGATCCACATACTGAGTTCCGTCACTTCCCGTCTGGATTTCAATAGAAAAATGATCACTGGTGCTGAGTTTGTATGTTTTAATGGTGTTAACGCCAACATCTGGATCCACGGCGTTCGGCAGAGAGAACCGTTCTCCCGGAGCGGCGGATTCAGAAACGTCCAGCTCCACTCTGTCTCTCCGAAAATGCGGCGCGTTATCGTTTATATCCGTTATTCCGAGTTCAATGTTGAATATGCGTAACGGGCTTTCTATGATCAAATCAAGCTTTAAAAAACAGGACGCTGGCTTCGCCGGACAGAGATACTCCCTGTCTATCTTCTCTAAGATGTAAAGCTCCCCGGTCTTCTTGTTGAAATCCAGATATTTTTTGTTTGTGAAAATGTCAAGTTTTACCTCTCGTTGTGCCAAACCTCCGAGCTCAAGTCCCAGATCTGCAGCAAGATTAGCCACAACGGAGCCCCTCTCCATCTCCTCTGCTATGGAGTACCGCGTCACAGACAAAGCGCTGGGCCAGACTGCGGTCCAGACAAAGACAGCGGTCCAAATCGCCATCCTCTCCTCAGCAGTGCATCAGATAAATCCGGTTCTTGTTAAGCTGGTTTTAAATCTGAGAAAAATCTAAAGAAAGCTTCTGAAAAATGTTAATTCTTTTAAAATTTCAGGACGACAATCATTTGATTCAGAAGGCTGCCTGTCCTGTTCACCATCTGGAACTGGGTGTGTGATTTTAATATATTACTATCTGCTCTGGTGGTGAACAGTGACACCATGGGACTGATGCTGCACACAGGGACGAAATTTTGATTTCAGAAGTGGGGGGGACACGGCAGGCTTGTGCGGATTTGGGGTGGGGGGTGTTATGTAAAGACCCGTTGACACGTCACGTGCCCATCTCAATAATTTTTCCATCCTCAATATATATATATATATATATATATATATATATATATATATATATATATATATATATATATATATATATCAAAGTTAAAAAATGTACAACTCTATTATTATTTTTATTTATTATGATTATTGAAGTGCAGTTTTGGCTGTTGACAATGGATAGGCCATTATAGTTATTGTTTTGGGTCTTTTTTATTGTTTTTGGTGCAACATTTTCTAACAGGGAGTGAGATTCCTTTTTTATTCAATTTTTGTTTGTTATTTTTATTCATTTAGAAGTTCTGGTTCTGGACATTTCAATGTTAAATGAAGGTTTATTTGTTGCATTTTAAAGGGTGTACTTGCATTATTATGATATATTAACATTATATTAGTGGTTATTTTGGTCTAGATAATGTTGACAATGATATCGTTTATCATCAACAATTTGTTGGACAAAATATCGTCCAGCAAAATTTGTTACATTCCCAGGCCTAGTCAAAAGTATAAAAATTATTTATACATAAACGGTCCCTCCTGAGATCTGGCCGTTTGTTCATTTGCTGTGTTAGAGGACATGCTGAACTAATGTTTTACACATGATCATCACCCTAACATTTGAGTGTATAAAAACATATTAAATATGTTTTTTCCCTTAAAAGTGTTTAAACAGTTGTTGCATTTCAACACACAAAAAATAAATGGAAAAAATAAGATAAATCTAATGAAAAGTGTACATCTTTGACATTAAGCTTAAAAAAATCTGTTGATGATGATGATACTGTTCATTTTTCAGAGCTTTTTAATGTGAAAATATACATTGCAATAGATAAGTTTACAATAAAGTTAAATGATAAAAGTTTTGAAGTTACACTTCTACCACTACTAGTAATAATACTTATGATGATAATAGTAATAATAAAAAAATAATAATTATAATAATACGAATAAATTGTGTCTGAGGAGTCAGTTATGTGGAGGAGATGAGTTTGTAAAAGTTAGTTTTGAGTATGTTTGTGAAGGAGGAGGTGAGTCTGAGCTTAATGCAGGGGTGTCACATGTTCCAACTTACGTTTTGACTTTGAAAGAAGTCTCTTATATCCACTTTTCATTTTCTTGACATGCTGCCTCCTGGCTGTGCCTAACTACCAAAGACTCACAAATGAACACTTATTCAAATGTTATGTAATGGAAGCTGAGCTGAGCTCTGATATTACACAGCGTCTAGTTGACGATGTGACTCAGTACCGGTGTTTCCTAGCGGCTCCAAACTAGCAAAACAACGTGAGCACGTTCTGACTGTTTACAACTTGAGTGACAGCAGCAACAGCCAATAATACGTTAGCAAGTATCAGCAGAGCCAATAGATTAGCTTTTGGGCGGGTCTAATAGGAAACCGGTTTCCGTTTCGGTCCTAGTGCTCAACCAAATCCATTTAATGGAGCGTAACATTGTTTTTGGACGGAAAAAAGTGCAGGGGACCAAAACTGCCTTTTGAAAAAGTGGGGGGGACATGTCCCACCCGTCCCCCCCCCCCCCCCCCCCCCAAAATTGCGTCCCAGGCTGCACATAATGCAGTCAATACTGGAATAATAACGGCTTTAAAACAATAAGCTGTATTCTCTTTTGATGCTTCAGCTAAATCTATCTGATGTTACAAGTCAATTAATTCACATGCATCATTATTAACACGATTGTGACATTTTTTTTATTGGAAACTGAAGAGGACAACACAAGTGTCAAACATGTCCAACCTCCTGGTTAATGTATGCACTACTCAAAATATTGACTTATGTTATTACTAAAACCATTAAATAATTGAGATTTATATAAAGATAATTTTTGCATGCACATAGTATTATTCTTCAGGTTGCAGCATGCTCACTTACACAATAAGTGTTCCTTTAGAACGTTTTTTGACTGAGGTAAAAAAAACTGCTCTGATTGGGTTTGAGTGTATCTTCTTGGGTTTCTGATTTCCTGTCAGACAAGCCTGAGTTTGTGGAGCTGCAGAGGGCCATGTACTGTGTACTGTGTTTTGGTCCATTCATGGTTCTTACAATTTTTTATGGAAATGAGGTAGAAGAACTGAAGTCATCTGTGTCCTTCCCATTTTTTAAATCAAAATTAAGTCCTTTACCTTGTCTGACTTGGTAATCACCAACACTGAAGCACAGAAGAAGACCATCCAGTCCTGTTCACTCAACTTTCAGATGTTCACCTGCAGGCATTTTGATGACTCTGCAGTAACTGTCTGCCATGACGGATTAACCAGAATGTATTTCTTGAGGAATCCCAAGTCCTTTTAAGTGTGCAAACAATATAGTGAAAATGTTTTAGTGGTGCCAGGTGCCATTTCGTTGAGTAAAATGATGGTGCAAACATTGTTGCTAAACTAAATTAAAAAGCCAGAGAAACGGTCAGTTTTTAAGAAATTAGAGTCTGCGACTGCATGATTTCGGGGCTTGTGAACACCCGCAAATCTCATCAGTGTCTGTCATTTAACAGTTTCTGTGCCAGAAAATGCTCTAAACGACCCATTTGGAGGTGGGAGGTGGGCGGAGGAATTATGGTTCCACATGTCAATGTCCATAATTAGCATTCGAATTGCACAACAGCACGTCACACCTTAAAAAGCTGCTGCGGTTGGTTTGATCATGTGACAATATGTCAAGTTCTGTGTCCCTTTGTTCCCCAGCCCCTCCAGTTCCCACTCCAGGTTCTCCTTTTGTGTTTTCTAGCACCCTCAAATGTCTTGTCTGCGTCTCCTCATGTGTCTCCTGGTGTTCCCCATTTGCCCTCTAGGTTCCCCCCTCAGACTTCCCTCTCTCAGGTCCTGTGCTCTCTTGGCCCCCTCTTAGCCACACCCCTGTAGTTTCTTTCTGTAGTGTTTTCCTTTAGTGTCAGTTTCCCCTTAGAATATTAGTTATGGTTCATGCCTTCTGGTCTTTTGTTTTTTCTCTTAGGTCATTTTTCCTTTGTTACAGCCTTGCATTGTTTAGTGTGTTTTTCCCACCAGTGTTTTTCCTCCTCCCTGAGTTAGTAATTGTGTTCACCTGGTCCCTCTCCCTACACACCTGCAATTCATCTCCCTCTCATCTTCCCAGTCTATTTAAGCCCTGTCTTGTCACTCTGTGTTTGTTGGTTCATTGTTGTTTGTCAGCGGTGTTTTGGTGATTCTTGTCAGTCTCGTCTCATTCCTGTTCCTAGCTTCCAGTGTTTCTAGTTCTCTAGTGTTTTTGATGACTCAGTTTAGATTTTTGGATTTTTGGTTTTTGGCTCCCTGCCTTTGGATTACTACCTTAATAAAGGATTTTTACTTTATCCTCCACCTCTGCCTCGTTCATCTGGTATCTGCATCTTGGGTCCAAACCATCCTCTCATCGTGACACAATAATTTTCATGACAGGACTGTAAATTTGTCACCATTGGTGCTGATGTCGCAACACACGCGCTGGGAGTGAGAATGTGTTGGATGTCGTTATGGCCGTATTAAATCCAAATTCCAAAGCCCCCCACCCCCACCCATTTTCGGTGGATTTATTATTATTACTTTTTCAGTTAAAACTTTTTTCATTTTAAAATTACTGCAGATGTTACACGCTCAACACAATGACACTTGTAGGATGTTACAGTGTTACGACTCTGACATCTGCTGTTAAAATGTGAAGGAGGGGGTAACATAAGAAACATGATAGTGTTAAAATGGGTTTCATTGTCAAAAGGTTTAAAAACAAGCATGTAAACAGATGGTAAGCATTATGATTTGTTTACTTTTATATTTTATTTTTCATTTTTGTGCTCCACCGGGACCTCTAAGCTGACGAGTTCTCAGCTGGTCTTCGCTCCACCATCTGTCTCAATATAATTCAGCATAATTCAATATATTTCAGTAATATACAGATAAATAAAATAATATGCTGTCAGTTTTACCGCTGTGTGTGTATATATATATAAAACTCTTGAAAATATTTAATCGATAATTTCCCAGAATAAATCTTCCTGATGCTGGAGTAACTCACTAGCTCGGCTCGTTGTTTGAACTAATCCAGGATGGTACGGAGTTTCTACCAGTCCCAGGAGGATATGTTGTTGAGACATGGAGATCATCTTTTAGATTGTGTGTGTGTGTCATAGATTTCCCAAATGACTTGTTTTGTTTTTCATATCAGGGCTCTAGATTGATTTATAGATGTAGGTTAATATTTTAGATCAGATCTGTGATATTTAAAAATGCGTGTAGGATACGGACCTGATACGGACATATGGCTCAGACCTTTTGCTGCAGCTGAAAACGCAATTTTCTGGAATACTTAAGAGCACGAAAGAAAACAAAATTCAGTTTTTCACAATACTATTAACAGCAGCTACCTTGTTTTATTTGTTGGAGTGACGTAGGCAAAACTCAGTTCATCACTGTATGGAGGATAGGATTTGGATTTTCTGTAATGATTTATGACAAAAGTCCTTGCAAAATGAAAAACTGAACCCAGTTCATATTTATATAGATGGAAAAGTGTAGTTAAACTGAATTCCTACAATTTTAATACAGTCTGGCCAATACCTTTAAGTTATCGGCCGAAGTAGCTAGGTGGGGAAACAGTGATTTACGGGAATATTGAACAGAGAGGAAAAGTGGTGACTTTTTGGCAGTTTAGCCTGGTTTCTTCTGGTTCAAGTACAGTTCACTTGTTAGAAGATTTTGCACAACTAGGTGGGGCTCATACAGAGTGGTATTTATAATTAAAAAAGTGTTAACTAGCTTACGAACGTTAGCCTACGTTCTCCCCGCTGCAGTTTACCGATGTAAACAAGTTGCTGACTTTGCCAGAATTCACCCTGCTGGATTTAT